ATGCTTGGAAAAATGTACCAAATGTGATGACAGAAAAAAATCGGCGATTCTATGTTACAAAATGCTAGTACGCGCGAAAACGCGCGCGCATGCGCGTGTACGTGATCTTTTTATCAAATGCTCCATATGGCCTGAAACGTATGCAAAAAAAAATTTGAGATGATTTGGAGCATTTCAATTTTTTTCGCGCACGTACACGCGCGGACGAACGCGCACGTGCGTATTTGCGCACGTTTATTGACCTGAAATTGACCGGACGGATATTGATCTTAATCATGATAATTATGAAAGAGAAATACTTTTCAGTTATGAAGATATGGTCATAAGTTGATTTTCACAAAGTGGCGCCTGGATGACGTCACAATTATTTTGACTCTCTGAAAAGTCACGCAGTTCTAAGTTAGACTAAGATCTATCATCATGGCAAGTTTCATGATAATGGCTTTATTCAGTCTTGAGATATCCTGCGAACAAATTCGAGGAAGAATAAATAAATAAATAAATAAAAATCTTGACGAAATCAATAGGTGATACGTAGACTTCGTACGTATCACCTAATAATAAATATATATATATTTTCTAAATGGCTTATTCACCGGCTGGTTGAGTCACCGCTAAATATTTTCTCACGAATTAGCCCCCCCCCCCCCCCCCCCCCCTCTTGCCGCCGGCTGGATCAACCACTGTGTAAGTCCCCTCCTATGGGAAATTTGATGATCTTAACATGCAAGGGGGACTCGCACCGCAAAGAAATATATAGACAGTTTTATAGTGTTTCCCTTAATAGGCCTACTAGCTCAATTGGCTTGACTAAATAAATCAGTAATATCATTCAAAACAAAATTTAATGAAAGTTATATTTCGTCTTCAATAATCGTTAAAGGCAATATGAAATTAATAAATATAATATTCATTTATTCAGCCTAATCAATGCTTGACTAAATAAATTTAAATTATAGTTTGCTTTAATTTAAGTAGTGAATGACTTTAATAGACCTACTAGATAAATTGGCTTGACTAAATAAAGTAATAATCCATTAAACGCGCGCTGATACAATTTTGGAAATGTTTTTTTTAGAGTAAAAAGTGTCCGTGGATCCGAGTCCCTGGGGACTTGAATCACGATAATACCGATAATACTTTACCGATGAACAGATTCCAAGTAAAGTTTACTATAAAGAATCAATTCCGACATTCAAAAATGAAATACTTTTTCTCTTATATTCTCTGCAGCTACATCCAAAGCAGAAAACCTTGCTGAGAAGGTTGCATGTATGGTGAAGATCGTGGAGTGAGTAATATTCCCTCTTTTTTCCATATTTACATGTTCTAATTTTTTTTTTCTTTCTCACAAATCTGAAAAAATTAATTCACAAAAATAGAAGAAATTGGTTTTAGCGCTTTGATCAAAAATCCATAAACACTCTTGAAGGTTGGGTGTAATTTTTTTTTTTGCCACCGTGGTTCCTTGTTTGGGTCACACAAGGTTGGCAGCTCTGGTTAATGCATTAAAACCCTATAGATCTAAGAACAGTTCGTATGTTTTCATAATGATTTAAAGGTAAAGACCAGTATTGGAAATACCCCAATTTCAAAAAATGAAATGGAAGCTTTTATTACCAATCATGTGAAAGAATATGTTTTGACTAATACATGATGATAAAAATTATGCCAGCAGGAAACCGCGTACTAATTGATATATTTGGTAAATTAGTTTATCTACATGGTCTGTGAGAGATAAACGCATGTGTCACGCACGTGTGCGTATAGTCCCATATACATCTTTCTGTGTACAGTGCTTGTAACTTTACGAAGACTGGGCCATATTTCTTATCATTTTGATGATTCCAGAACCTTGCAGTACACACCAATACTTATATGCTAGATGATCAACCTTTTCTGATTGATTCCACAACGTTTCTTTCACAATGCAATCGCATGACCATAACTGGTCTTTACCTTTAAAATTAACCGGTGTGTGAGTGAATGTTGATTGGGTTTGTCTAATTTTTGCTGTCTTATTTGGATAATAACTGATTATGAAGGTGACACATTTGTTTTGAACTAAAGAAGGGCAGACTATGTAAAAGAATGTGACTTTCCTTAAATTTAAATTTGTGTGGATGTGATAACAATCATTATAGATGGCATATGTGCTGGTGAATACATTTTTCAGATGGTATAGACATTAAAAGATAATTTCAATTTGTTTTGGCAAAATGTTTTTTAAAAAAACATGAAAAAGCATGTGCACCCCTTCAGTTTTTTAGCAAGACTTAACAAATACATAAACGTGTGTCTGATTAAGTAAAATGGCAATTAATTTTTATTTGTAATTTAACGACAGTTATGCAAGATAATACAAAAAAAGAAATGGATATTATTTTTTATTTCAATAAATAAACAACTGATATGCAAGACTAGCTAAACACCTATATTCGACGTTCTTAAAATATTTAAGTTAATTATTTCATTGTGTTACTTTTAATTTACTGATTTAATTCTTATAAACGCCTGATCTGCTAGACTGCGTAAAAAGTAGTTTCAATTTTGATTATATAAAACGACATTTCTATTCCTTAAACTTTTAAAACAACTGATATGAAAGACAAGTGGACGCACTCTTTCGAGAAAAGCCCTGATTTATTCCCCAAAGTACTGATTTTGGGCCTTATGATTACTGATTTTCTGGGCTGGAGGTTGACAGCTCTGCCCAAACCCCAACCTAAACAAGGAAAACTAACTAACAATATTTCCCTAGAGCAACTTTTTTAATATTTTTGATAAAAGAAACACACTTTGCCGTCCTTTATGCATTCCTTAACCCACATGATAAAGTAGAAGGGTAGGGTAAAGGTGGAAAGTAGAAAAGGAGCACTCAATAACATCCACAGGCCTAATAGGACTTAAAAGGTTTTAAATCACCCTTTTTTTGAGCAAATTTAAACGCACAGGCCAAGGATAGAATATTCAGAATCTCCATGTAGACATACATGTAAGATTGATCATGTTATTAAGGGGACTTTCTCTACAGTATTTAGGATCGTATTACTTTAAAGTAAGTTTGTTACTAGGCGAGTGAGCGTAGCAACCGAGCACCAAAAAAAAACCTCACATGCTTCTACGGCAATGTAATCAATTTTAATCAAGTGTACATTTACACACACAGAAAAATCACAGCCTACCGGTACTTCAAAATTATGATGTGATTGAGCATCTACCAGCATCAGTAGTTAGAGCCAGAAAATGTTCATGTTGATATGCAGAAAGTTTGCATGTTAGAACACTAAGAACGATGATTAATATATACTGGTAATAACGTTTTATTTACCCAGGGTAGCCACTTCATTTATAAAACTGCTCTCCCAGCGGGCCCTGCATAACATAACATGTTACTATTACCCTTCTCCAATCTAATATGCTGAGCGCCTAGCTAGAAGGCAGAAGGTTCTATTGTTATAAGTCTTTGGTATGACTCGGCCGGGGATCGAACCCACGACCTCCCGTTCATGAGGCGGACGCTCTAACCATTGAGCCACCATGCCCGGTAAAATTATTATAATTGTTGTAGTGCAAACAAAATACATGTACGTCCAATTTTTTGTTTTTTGTTGTTTTTGAGGTGGCCTTTGGCAGGGGCGGGTTGAGAATTGAATTGTATTGTTACCATTAACCCTTCAATCATCACCACATGAATAATAATGATTCTGAATCTGTGTGTTTTCTCATTTCTATCTTCAGCACTTTGGATATTCAAGTTACCGTAGAAGAGAGCAAGAAGATAATGGAGATTACAGGTGAGTTTGCCCTTAATCCTTAAAGGTAGGTAGGACAATAAACTGAAGAAGGATTTTCGTTTTTAACAATTTTGAATAAACAAACAATTGTACTGTTAAAACACACCATATACATGTAAATTACAATGGCTGCGGTGATGTACACCACCGAATTCAGGATTAAAAGAAAGAATAGATTAAGAGAGTGATACATGAATAAATGAATAACATTACGAGCCAGGTTTCTTTCATGCATAAAACTTTTGTATATCAGCTGGTAAATTTTGTTTACCTTGGTACCTATATGTGATTTGTGTTATTTGCTATCGTGGACTATTAAACACGCTTATTTTATCATGATTGCCCCAACTCATTTTTGCCCTACCAAAGATATTAAAGGTTATTTTCATTGTCTTCGTTGTAAATGTATTACTAGTACTATCTCCCGACTCTTCACGTTTACTCATTATTCCGGTCTCTTCTGCAGTCTCCCTTCTTTATCAACTCACCCCCCCCCCCCTCCCCCTCTCTCTCTCTCTCTCTCTCTATCTCTATCTCCATCTCTCCTTCCCTTCTTCTCTTATGCGATTATTACAATTCTATTTTAATACAACTTGAATGTGGCAGTATATTTTATGCCACACAATTAAAGTCAATGAGAATATTGGAAAACACAAACAGAAATGAATGAGGCATTACAGGTTCTCTCCACTTTGATGTGTCAAATTACAAACCCCACCCCTCTAAACAAAATAAATATTAGGTGACGTATGTGTGGTATATTAGTCATCCACTTATCATGACTTTGGACGTTATTTTGATAAAACCCATTGAATATGTTTCGATTGGATAGGTCGCTTCCCTGTCTGTGCCATACTTAAAAATGATGACCCCATGTTTATGGATAAAGCCATAGAGACCTTAAAGGGGAGCGGGATGACTGATCACTACGTAGTACCTTGGCCTAGTAAAACTCGCACAGATGTGGATAAGCTTGAGTGGCTTCGCCTTCTACATAAATGCCTCCCAGAAGCTGACAGAATGTTAGCAGCTAAAGATCTAAAGAAGACATCCACGGATCCAAGATGTGAGTCGCTTCTTGAGAAGACCAAGAAAGATTTGGAAGAAGCAAATCTGGAAAAGAGGTCACTGCAACAAAAAATTAAGGAGCTTGAACAGGAATTTCAAGAATTCTTAGCAAGTCCTGAGGGGAACGATAAAGGCTCTGGAGAACTGGAAGCAGAGAACCCAGCGTCGACTAGAAAGTGAGATACGATCTGCAGAGCAGGAGCAGTAAGCAGGTACATCTCAACAGATGTAGAGTTCCATTCCCGGGATGGCTCCGGTAAAACAAGTTCAGGGTGGTAAGACTTTTTTTGTCCAACATCATTTTTCTTTTCAACTCTTTTTTTATTTTACATTGTACAATATAACTCCCATCCCATCATTGGCTACTTTTCAGATATACTTTATAATATGAAGCTTTTCAAGTCCAATATGTTCTATTGCTCCCAACCCCAAGTTTGGAAATACATGTACTTAATATCTGTTTCATGACTAAATTGTTGTTTCATGATTTTTGCCCTACGTCTATGTCTTACGCACATTTTAATACAATTTTGTTCAAAATCACATGAACCTGTAAGGTGTTATATAACAATTAGTATGTGCATGTCATCAACAAGTGCTTAAATTGCATCTTCATGTACAAGCAGAAATGTGAATACAGGTTGTATTTCTTCATAAGTGGGAAATATGTTTATGTTTCTCAAAGTAACTTGATGTATTCTAGAACAAAAGAATACATTAGAAATAAAACAGTAAAACAAGATATACAAACAATAAAAAACATAAGGATATATAGTGATGTAATTTGCGTATTCATAATTTATGCAAATTAACCTTTGCATTTTCAAATATACAAATAATGAATCTCCATGAATGTGAAATGAAGGAAACATTTATTCAGTACATTTTTGAAGACTGTTCACAATTCTAGGGACAAATATGTGGAGTTTTCTGTAAAATGCATAAAACTAGCATTTTGCATAATTAATTAGGCTTTAACAACAACAATTTTCATAATAGGACAAAACTAATTATACCATCTCGTCCCCTACGTGAATATCTACAAAAAAGCAAATTTTTTAGTTCATCGGACATTCAATGGCCGATATCATTGCCCCCCCCCCCCCAGTCAGGGAGGTGCTCAAAATAGCCCAGTACAGTAAGGGTTAAGAAGAATATGATTCCCGTAATAAAGACCACCACTTTAACACGCTATTTGCTGTTATATTTTCTGGACAATACAGTTCATGTGCATGATTTGTTTAGAGTGTGATCTATAGTATTTTATAAAGCAAGTCCGTTTCCCACTTTCAAACTATTGATAGAAAAATTGAGGTGATGTAATGCAGATAAAATAGATTATATCCCGCATACTAAGAATCTTGCCATCTGATTGGTCTAAACGAGGTCACATGATTAATGATAGATAAGTACTATCTCCCTGCGATAGGACTTTTGTACAGTAATCTTTTGCTGCTGCCCCACTTGCCCATTGAATAAGCATACAGCGCATAGCAAAGTAGGTTACGCGAAATGTCAATGACAATGTCAAATGAGCACGCATCGACTGTATTACATGTATGCGTGTTGTGCTTTGTAGCTGAAGCTAAACTGTCTGCAGAATCAGTTCTTTTAATTATGTAAAATTCACTTTAAATAGACCTTATTGCCGATGTGGGATATAAAACAAATATTAACCTCATTTACTCGGGCAATGGATACAAACTATCATCGCCTCGGTGATAGTTTGTACCATTACCCTCATAGTCGATTAATATTTGATTAATATGTACTCTTTTCATACAGGAGACATGACTTCCAAGAGCCAGGAGGACTTTGCAGATTGAAGTAAGATTCAACATCCTGACCAATCACCGGAGCCGGGTAGTGAGCCGTTTTTTGTTTGTTTTTTGGGTCCTCGAAAATTTAAAAATTTGCACCCCCCCCCCCCCAAAGGTAAAAATCACGTTTTTTACATGATTTTTTTCTCAAGGGGGGGGGGGGTCCGGGCCCCCTGGGCCCTGGATCCGCCACTAAGGCCAATTGATGTTACACATTAAAGATATGGAAGACTAGACTAAGACACTTCAAGTCGTTTTGGTGCAATGCCATTCATTTTGTACCAAGCTCGTCTGGTCTCCGTCCTTATTGTCTTTCTTCAAAAATTTGTTTAACCTGATGCGACGCAAAGACCAGGTGGAATGGCACAAACCCTATATTTGAAAGCATATGACAAAAAAAGCCATTAATGATATTTAAATCCCAAAGAATTGGAAGTATGACAATAATATAGCTGAAGAGTTCGGACCAAACTACCATGCAACTTGCGTGTGAGTGTGGGTGACTATATATGTGCCTGTGTGTAATTCCGTTTACGTATGTGGGTCGAGCATTTGACCTAGTCAATTTCTTCTCATTTTGGTGATCCCATAAACCAACAGTGTACAGCATTATTGCTCATGTGAAATACAATCAGGTCCCTATTTTTCCAGATATTTGCAATTTCAACTATCTATGATATTTGAAATGTATATAAAAACAACAACAACAACAAAGTTAAAAAGTTAACGTTACGGTTTAACGGATTCCTCTAAGAACATATCCCATAAAACCTTGTATACTGTGGTGAAGGCATTCCAGGTACCCTTCCATTATGACATTGCATTGCTGTATATTATTTGTTACATGTATTCCTAAGATACATTTGGTGTTAAAGTTAATAATGCTTTGTGTAATGTTGATTGTGGTTATTTCTTATGTTATCTTATTATATTTTGTGGATTGAATCCTAAGTCTTTGTGTGGGGGGGGGGGGGGGGTTAACCAAGATCTTATTTATGTTTCAACTGAATTTTTATTCAGTTCCCAAGATATTTAGAATAAAATAGTTATGTAAAATGGGAAAATATGAAAAATTAAAAGAAAAGAACTGGATGTACACATGGTAGACGTAGGTCTATGTCAATACGGCAAAACATTTATACACAACAAGTTATCTCATGCAGTTGCGGATCCAGGGAGGGGGGAAAAAACCAGGTAAAAACATGTTAATTTTACCTTTATTTGGTGACGGGCCCCCTCCCCTGGGCCTCAAGGGGAGGGGTTGCAAATTTTCAAAATTTGTAAGGGCAAAAAATAAACGAGTGCCCCCCCCCCCTTGCTTAATCACCGGCTGGCTGTTTCGCCACTAAATATTTTTGTCACAAATTGGGCCCCCTCTTTGGCCCCCTCCCCTGCCGCCGGCTGGATCCGCCCCTGGTCTCATGAGCAGTAAAACAAATCGATTGCCCGTACAAAGATGTGGTCATACACCACACTGAGAATGCAAATAGAGACTACCGGTATGCAATGAACTTTCTTAATGCCTTAGTTTGTTAATAATACATACTGAATAGACGCTTGTTACAATATCGTTAATGCTTTGTATATTATGCTCAACAAATTAAAGGATGTAAACATTACTCGAATGTACAGTATGAATGCGTGCCTTTATGCAAAATACCATATGGGCTAAGTTGGCATACCAAATCAAGCAACTCTTTGTTTATGTATTCTTGATTTTCATATGTGTGTTTTGCTGTATAGCACTTGATAAATCTAGTTGATCCTTAATGTTATATTTCACATTGTAAGTCAAATGCAAATGTTATCATGTATATTATAATGGTGGGGGAGTTTATTGACATGATACTCTGAAAATGATCCAATAAGTGAAGCTGACGTAACTTTTGATTTCATATCTCAAACATAATGGGTTATTCCTACTATTCTTTGTCCTCCTCAATAAGCGAGTTCGTAAATACCCGGTAGCTCTTGACCGCTTGACCCCAAAATATCCACAGATCTTAGACACGATAGATACTTCCCACCTGTGCATTTTAGAATAATCACTGCCAAAGGGATGGAGGTGCTTCATGAATACCTTTTGTTTGCCTCTTGAGAAGAATACTTCCACCTGTGTAACAGATAAATGTACTGTTGGTGCATAAATGAATACTGATTACATAACTTTCATGAGCACGATCCGTGTATTCGTCTCAATGGTTTTACAATTTGGGTCCGAATGACCTTGATCTGCCCATGCGCAAATCCTAATTATGAACTCGCTTATATTTCTCTACTAGATCGCTCATCAGCTTAATACAATTTTACATGCAAAAGAATTATAGAATTGTCACCAAGAAAATGCTTAATAAATAATTTGAATATACGTCTTGCATTGATATCTCTCTCATGTGTAAAGCGTTTTTTTTTAATAAAGTTAACCAAGGTGCGGGGAGGATATACTGGTAACTATTATACAGTCATAATTTAACTCATTGTCACCAACGGGTACAGGCATGCATTTAACACCAAAGGGATAGGGCTTAGATTTCCCCCTGGCCTTGAATAGCTAGAACATTAGCTAGTGGCACAGATTATGCATGTTTGAAGGGGAGGGGACGGATCTACACATTAATGTAAATAAATGTAAGAGAGAAGAGCATTTGCAATTAAGAGAGATTTTCTTTTTTTAGTATGTGAATGTATTAGTGAGGGTAACAGGAGAGAGTATGGAAGAGAGAGCTAAAGAAGGGATATAGAGGGGGAGAGAGAGAGAGGGAGCAGGGGCTGACTGGTGTTTGGGCATGCACACATATCAGGATATTATCGGTAAAATTGCTCTTTCCTTTTTCTTTAACGGTAAACTACAAAGTCCTAATTTAAAGTTGACATAATTATGAATTACTTGATCACATACAATGTGTCTTTACTGAGAGCATGAACAAAGCGCCATTCTAATTTGTTCTTTAATATAGGAATGCAGAAAGCATAACAAAAACAAGTTAAACAGCAATTGCTCATGAGGTATGATCAGCGTTAATATCCTGCCCTAAACAGGGGCAGCTAGAGGGGGTAAAAAAACTTTTTAATTTTACCTTTATTTGGAGACGGGCCCCCTCCCCTGGTACTCAAGGGGGGGGGGGTGCAATTTTCAAATTTTCGAGGGCAAGACAAGAACAAATGAGTATGGCGCTTTGTTCATGCTCTCAGTAAAGACGCTTTGTATGTGATTGTGAACAAGTAATTTATAATTATGTCAACTTCAAATCAGGGCTTTGTATTTTACCGTTAAAGAAAAAGAAGAGAGCAATTTTACCGATTATATCCTGAAATGTGGGGGGTGTCGCACCCCCTCCACATATCAGGATATTTTCGGTAACATTGCGCTGTCGTCGGAAAAAATGAGAAAAGGGGGAGGGAAAGAAAAAGGAAAGGAAAAAGAAGAGAAGAAAGAAAGAGAAAGAAGAGGCAAGAAAAAGGGGAAAAGAAATGGAGAGATGAAAGAGGAGAGAGAGGGGGTAGGAGCATGATAGAGGGGGTGGGAGTATGAGAGGGGGAGGGAGGGGGTTGTTGGATGGAGTCATCTCATCGAGGGAGCAAGAAAGATGCCAATATATACTGTACATTAGCTGCGCTACCGGTATATAAATGGACCTACCATCATTATCATTATAAAGCATGAAACATATTGAGGTGGAATGTAAGAATTCATCGCCTTTTCTTTAAATTACTTAACTGGTATTATGATTTTATCCTATAATCAGGTTTTTAATTAAATTTTAACTACTTTAATTTCTGTTCATTCGCAGGCCCTCACCAAGGATATTAAGTGGAGGGAACATAGTTCAGTTTTTGTTTAATGTGCTGAAAAGTGAACATGGCTGTTGATCGGTAAAAAAATTCCATGTTATCATGTATATTATAATGGTGGGGAATTTATTGACATGATACTCTGAAAATGATCCAATAAGTGAAGCTGACGTAACTTTTGATTTCATCTCAAACATAATAAGTTATTACTACTATTCTTCGTCCTCCTCAATTTATCACTGATATATATTTCTCCCGCCCCCCCCCCCCCCCACTCCGAGAACGGACGGACCCCATGCGCGTTGCCAAAATGTCCTTTTCGTAACAAAAGAAAAAGGTCGACCCGTATTGACTTTACACACCAGACTTTTGCTGAAAGGGGGGGGGGGTGCTGAAAAAGGCTCGTATACAAAAGAAAAAGGTCGAGCCGTATTGACTTTACACACCGGACTTTTGCTGAAAAGGGGGGGGGGGGGGGTCGGTTGGAACACGCATATGCCTACCCTAAATAACACTGAGTGGGGGGGGGGGCGGGATATTTCTCTAATAGATCGCTCATCAGCTTAATACAATTTTACATGCAAAAGAATCACAGAATTGTCACAAAAAAAAGGCTTAATAAATAATGTTAATATACGTCTGTCATTGATATCTCTCTCATGTGTAAAAGTGTTTTTTAAAGTTAATCAAGGTGCGGGGAGGGTATACCAATGCTATTGCTATTCCAATTGATTTATTTCGTTGTTTTTACTTATGTACCTGTAGTGAAATATGCCTTATCTTGTTCATCTTAAATCCTGCTTTCCTTCTACCCTTCACCCTTTGTCTGTCTTCAAACTCATACTTGCATTCGTTCTCCCTCTACTTCTTTTGTTCTTTCACTCTATTCGAGTTCTTATCTTGCACTTTACAAAAGTTGTATGTTGTTTTGTTTTTATGCAAATATTTCGTGTTTACGATAGTTCAGGGATGCATTGTTTTGCATTTATTAGATAACAGAAGAAAAAGAAGAGGGTTATGTTTTATTTTAAGATGTATAAGCATATATTTTTCCATGTTTTCAATACTTCTGCATGTCTTGTCCTATACCTTCCGCACCTTGTCTTTCCTAAACTTTCCCGTTTCTCTCTACTCCTCTTTTGTTCTTTATCTACTATTGCACATAATTATATCATTTTTTTGTTATATCTAAGTGTATATACATGTACTTTAAGGAGTTTGAAAGTAATTTTGTACTTTTTCGAAAGATTATTCAGAGATGTTCTTATTTTGTTTTGTTAAAGAGTGGCCCGAGGACAGCCCACACTTAGGGAGGGGCTGTGTAGCATAACTAGCTCAGTAATTTAGTAGGACATAGAGGGCGTTATAGTTAATTGTGAAATATATATGTGTACATCGTGAGATGTCAGTCAGTCAGCGCTTAGCTGCCGTTGGGGCAGTTCTATATAGTTGTGATCTGTGAGTCAGCGTTGACCTGTCGTTGCGACAGGTCTGTTACCAGGAACGAGTAAAGTTACTTGAATTGCAGATATACTGTGCAAGTGTTGTTTCTTTAGTCCTGTCAGACATTCAGTGATTGCGGGAGTGAGTAAAATGAGAGCTGTCCACGTTAATTCTTACACAATATACTTTTGTGAGAGCCCACAGAGAGATATTGATTGTCGAGAGCGTGGACCGGGTTTTGAGAGACTGCAAGGCAGAACGCTACCCCGGCAGAGCCCGGTTACGCCACAGTATGCATGTTTGAAGGGGAAGGGGAGGGGAGGGATCTACACATTAATGTAAATCAATGTAAGAGAGAAGAGCAATTGCAATTAAGAGAGTTTTTTTTTTTAGTATGTGAATGTATTAATGAGGGTAACAGGAGAGAGAGATATGGAAGAGAGAGAGATAAAGAAGGTATATAGAGGAATAGAGAGAGAGAGAGAGAGAGAGAGAGTATGGAATAGAGCTAAAGAATGGATATAGAGGGAGAGAGAGAGAGTATGGAAGAGAGCTAAAGAATGGATATAGAGGGAGAGAGAGAGAGAGAGAGAGAGTATGGAAGAGAGCTAAAGAATGGATATAGAGGGAGAGAGAGAGAGAGAGAGAGAGAGAGAGAGAGTATGGAAGAGAGCTAAAGAATGGATATAGAGGGAGAGAGAGAGAGAGAGAGAGAGTATGGAAGAGAGCTAAAGAATGGATATAGAGGGGGGGAGAGAGAGAGAGAGAGATATGGAAGAGAGAGCTAAAGAATGGATATAGAGGGGGGAGAGAGAGAGAGAGAGTATGGAAGAGAGCTAAAGAA